AGTATGTTGGACAATTGCATCTTTTAAATCAACACCTCTGATTTGTCACCAAAAATGAAACAACCCTTTCTGAAAGGCCTAAGTGTTTTCTTGACGTAATTGCCTTTTAAAGTACTCTCCAAATACAAATTAAACATCAAGTATTGTGAATAGAATGAGTCAATGATTTTTTTGATGTCTGAATTAATTCAATTTTTTCAAATAAACTGGTTACCCATGTGTTTGCCAGATAGCTAGCTAGCAAAAATAATCTATAGATCTTCTTTTCCATTGTCGTATTATTAATAATTAGAACAGCACAGATCAGATTTGTAGACACTGATCTTACACTGCATAATGTTTATCTCTTCTCAAGTAGAACTATACATAAATTGTTTGTTGCAAAATAGTTTTACCAAGTATTTTGAAAATACCCAGTACTTCTAATCTGTCATGGTATCAGCTTCCTCCAAATCACTTGGACAGGTAGTTACAGACATAATGCTTGAGAACTGTTATCAGTGACAGACATTGTATTTGCTAATAAAAAGCTGTGGTTATTCTAGTGGTTAAAATGAGCCTCCATGCAATGGGAGTCTATTCTTAGCATAGCGGTTCTGTGTGTGTTTGGCAGCCTATGCTCTAAATCGTGAATATTTTATCAAGGTAATATTTGAAATAGAAGGAGCTATTTCTTAAAGTCTTTCTCAGGAGAAACTGCTAGTGATCTGTTCTGAAGGTCAGTATACAGATGCATATTTCCCTATTCACATTTTAAGCTCCTGAATTCTGAAGAGTTTCCCTTGTCTGTTTGAAAATGTTTCAACTTGCTTTTGTTTGGTTTTAATTTTGTTTTGATGAAATTGTGATTAGCGTGTATGTTCTGTGTTTCAGTTTGCTTAGGTATTCCCATGGCTAACAACATTTAGTTATCTATTTTGTCTAGCTTCCTTTCTGTGTCTGTCAGGCAGAATAGGTCTCCAGTAGTGCCTTAATAATTTCATTTAGAGTGCAGCTGTGCGATTTCTTGTCTTCTGATAGGCATTTTGCTTGCATTACAGAGACCATGAAATGAGCCATTGAAATAAGTGGCAGTTTCTATTCAAGATAATTTTGATACAGTTTGCAGCAAGCAGCACATTCTCTAATCATTTGCAGCTACCTTATTTTTTTTTTTTTTCCCTCTTCATTTCCTGTTTGGACAGGGGAGATGTTACAGAGCAACACTCAAAAAGGATAATGGGAGAAGAGTGCTTCCTAGTTAAATAGGCGATTGGTCCACCCTATTCTTGACAATATTATTGGGCCTCAGTTTCACCTGTTTGGCTCCAGTATCTTTGTAGCATGAAGGCAGTAATTCTTGCCTTTTAAAAGCACTTTAAGACTTTCTGAGTAAAACCTCAATAAAGAATCAGCCTTTGTAGTTTTACAATTGCAGCAGGGTTCTGTAGCTTTTCATTAATCTGTCACTTATTCTGACTTTCTAAGCAATTAATCCAAAATTAAAAAATTAAAAAAACTTGCCATTGTTACCAGAATAGGAGCTGGATTTTTCATACATAGCTTTAATTTGGAGTTTTATGTTAATTATCTCCATAGTTTTGACCCACCTGGCAAAATGTCTCCTGGAATGTCCTGTGAAATAGTGGTAACATTTAAACCAATGGTAAGTGCACCTGAGTGCTAAGTTACACAATGATGAGAATCCTAGTATAATCCCCTAGTCTGATTAAAAACATCATTAATTTAATTTCTTGACTGTTAACACGGAAACAGACTACATTTCTAGAAAATATACTGTTGTACTTGGACAACTGTGTGCATGTTCAAGCTCTGTTAAATTATAATAAGGCGTATTTTAAGGGCACACTTTAGAAAAATGCCTGTCACTAAGTATTCTTGGAGTTTGTTTTGAAACTTGCTCCAAATGAAAAGATTTATAATATTGCCTAGCTAAAGTTATCCAGGCAGTTACCAAAGACTGATTTAAAATGGAAACATAGAATCTGTAGAGATACATTTTAATATGTTACTCAAAGAATGAGTGAAATTATTTTTCGTCAGACTACGTAGGCTAGATCTTTGCAAATTACTTGGTTGGGTGTTTTTTTTTGTTTTCTAGATAAATGAAACTCTGGAAGGAGAAGTCATGTTTATGGCACAGACAGGTTCCTTTTCTGTTCCATTGAAATGTACAGCCAAGAGATGCATTGTAAGTGACTTTTTAAATATGTTTAGAGTCAGTATAACAATGGTAATAGAAAATGTGAGATGGCATAAACATTATTGAAAATATTTAGCAAGAGATACTTACATTTCTTTCTTTTTTTCCTTTTAAATGGAGAGTCTCTTTCCAGAAAAGTATTCATTCCTTAGCTTCCCAGGTTACACAGAGATTTATACAATATTGTCTTAATGGATTTACTTAACCATGAACTGTAACTTTAACTTCAGAATGGAATTAACTGAAGTAGTTCTGTTTAGCAATTGATGACACAATGTTACATTGTGAATGGAGGGAAGAGAAATGGTGGTTGGAAATGAGCTATCTTTTTATCCTTGTAATTTTTGGAAGTTCTATCCCAGACCTGCAGTAGTTTATTCTTAACTTTAATTTCCTATGTAGACAAAAATCAAAATATCACAATATCTTTCTATCTTTTCTGGTGTTTATAAAAAGCATATAATCTCTGCTTTCTTTCAGCATCTCAAAATCTTTTGAGAATTCTATACTGAATTTGAAGCAAAGAACATAAGACGAAACTACAGGCAGCACTAACTTTTTTTAGATACCTTAACCTCCTATGAGCTAACTTGAAGAAAATATTTGATAAAAGCAACAACTTTGTTTTTAAATTACTTCCTTTACAGCTAAGAGCAGCTTTGGCTTTACAGGGCAAAAGAAATTATAGACGAGAATATACAATGCTAGAGGAAAAAGATTATGCAAGGAGACACCCAGTCTCGGAATAAGACTGGCAAATGCAAAATTTGGGATATACTGGGAACATACTTAATAATAAACATTTAAAAATAATTTTAAAAAGGCTTTAGACATATGAATGTCTTCCTGGAGTTTGTGATAATACATTTCAGTAAATTAATGAATAAGATTGTATGTAAAGTTTCTTTACTGGACTGCACATTGAAACTTTTGTGCACAGGGAAATGAATCAAGAATAATCTGTTACACAGAAAAATAGAAGGGGGGAAATAACTGAAAGGTAGTGCACTATAATTATTATATTAGCAATCTAGCAAAGTATTTAAGGATGTGCTTAATCTAAGCACTTGTAGGAAGCTAGAATGATATCACATCAATATTGCATACTTAAATCTGTCTATGTGTATAGGACTCTCTGATGGTTTTCAGTTAAAAGACCTTGAAGATGAGAATGCACAATGCAGCAGAAAGCCAGCACATTAATCGTTGATCAGAAGAGTAGTTTTCTTCACCTAGAGAATTCATACCATCATTGTGTGCTAATTACATGCAGAAACTCCCGTTCTTTATGTCCTGAAAGTGGGAAGAGTTCAGCTGTAAGCAGGATACTAGCAAGCAACCAAGTTGTCTTTGTCTTTTTGATGCTTAAACTTGAATTACAAGCCTTTCGTTATCATATACACAGCTACAGTCATTCAAAATTCTATATGAAGTAGCGTATTACTTTTTAAACTGGTTGTAAACCATGGTAGCTCAAAGAATCAAGACAGGATGTGTTATAAACTGATATGTAGTCACTATATGATGTTAAATGCTGCTTGCTTCTCAGCTTGATGCTCATAAAATCGTTTTACTGTAACACAAGAGTAACTATGTTGAATTGGTATGTAAATATTACCTACTTCCAGAGTAACTACCTGAAGACTTATGCAATCTGCTACTATGAACAGAATTTAACCTGTTTTTTCCATTGTCGTACAGTGGACTGAAATGGAAGTGGCTCAGTTTAACAAGACATTGTTTTAATGAGTTGGCTTCTACAAAAAGGCGGAAGGATAGCCACAGTTCATGTTGTTATTTGATACCGTCTTTGAAATTACGAACTTTAAAGTCCTATTCTTGAAAAGGTGAATGCTCATTCAATTGACATTACTGACTATCTGGGACAGTAGTAATTAACGGTTTATCTTCTCACAGCTGGCACTAGATAAAGAGCTCATTGACTTTGGCAGCCATGTGGTGGGAGAGACAATTTCACGGACCATCAACCTGACAAACAGTGGAGCTTTGGGAACAAGATTCAAAGTTCAGATGTCAGCAGGTGACAGTAGTACATGCAGAGCAACAGCAAAATCTTCTCCTGGAAGAATGGTAGGTTCAAAAGCATTTCCCAGAATTGACAGAAACATTCTGCTTTGCTAAGTGTGGTAGAATCATACAGAATCGTAGAACAGCTCAGGTTGGAAGGGACTTTGGAAGATCATCTGGTCCAACCTTTAGTAGTTTGTTTATGCTTGGGTTGGCATAACTTAATGTAACCTGTTAGAACCCCAAATATCACAAGACAAATTTAAAAACAATTATTTTGGGGGGTGAAAGGGGAAACGAGCAATGATAATTTTTTTAATATTTTAGTCATTTATGATTTATGATTCCTATTTTCTCCACGTCCGTGAAAATTAGGAAAAAATACTTTAGTTAAAAGAGGAGATTCTGACAGAATCATTTAAAATCCCAGCTCCTGGACCTCAGAAAAATGGCAATTGTTGCAAAACTAGTAATAAAGTAATGAGAATTGGGAGCACTAGCCTGTGATCTTCCTTTAAAAATTCAGAGCTGTTCATTTAAATTTCCTATCAAAGAAGGACAGTTACAGTTACTGACAAGCTGTTGTTACAAGGGAAGAAGTTGTCTTAGTCAAACTAAGAATTATGGTGAGGGCTGTTGCCTGAAAACTATAATAATAAACAGTGTTAAAAGAATTGAAGGAAGATCTCTCAAATCAATAGTGGAATGAATGCAAATGATTGTAATACTGTGTCCTGTGGAATGTTCTGGGTGGGAATGACGCAGAGACTGTTGAAGAAACGTACCAAAACTGAGACACTTGGTGCAGAGCTGAGAAAATGTGTGGTGTTAGACCTGACATTGATTGCTCCTATAGCATGCCAATTCCAAAGTTGACAGAAAACTGAGGAATCATAACAGCCGTACTTCTCCATGTAGCAGATAATTTTAAGTGAAAAACACTTATAAAGAAAGCATGCATACAATCATCTTTGCATGTCACCACTGTGGGGCAAATTTTTGAGAAGACTGAACAGCTTAAGTTTGAAGACATACTTGCTCCTTTTCTAAATAAGTTGTGGGTTTTATTCCTAAAGTGGGGAAATCTTCAGAATAAAAAATAAAAATAAAAAAACAACAACCAAAAAACCCAACAACAACAAACCACCCACTGTGGTAGGAACTCGTGCTTTGTAATTCCTGCGTTGATGAATATCATTATCACAAATGTTCCTTTTTCCTCAAATGTTGCATAGGTAGTACCCATAAATACATAGATTTCACAGGTCCTAGACCAGAGAGAATATCACTACAAGGTTGCATATCTTTGTTTTGAAGTGTCTACATGTTCTTGTAAACACAGTGGAGATGCTTCATCTTTGTTCCATCAGTGCAGTATTTAATTTCTTTGATTCTTGAAGAGCAGTTGGCTCAGATGGTTTTCAAAATTCTCTACTTGATAATCTAACCCAGTTTTAAGTTCTAAGAAAAGGGTTGACCTCTCTTTTGAAACACTACCTTAAATAGTTTGTACAGTGAAGCCGCTGAGCTTTTTGCCATGGTTTTCAACTCTCATACTATCCTTAAGTTAAAAACGTGGTTCAAATAAAGAATTTGTGAAATAACACAGTCTGTATCCATGGTTTTCATTCTGTATTCTGTCTTTTTGTAGGTGTGTAATAAACAGAAGCCTAGTTTTAGCAGACTTCGTTTTGACATAGAACTGCCTGTGTTTCCACTAGAAAAATGTTAGTTCTGTTAATTGTAAAAAAGCTAACACTATATTGTGTAGCTCCCATTATATTATTTACCTGTTTTGGGCAGCCAGCAAAAATTAAATCTGCTAATTGATAAAGGTCTAGTAGAATGCAACATATTTCTCCATTTATAATGTGGAAAACAGTTGCAAGAAAACAAAAGTCTGATTTGCAACTGCTTGATAAAATTGGAGCTGGTGCAAGCTAGATGACCTGTCACAGTAGAAAATGTTTTCTCTGTTTTCTAATAGGTTACTCGACACTTCAGTGACTGTGTTCCTGAAAAGAAAGTCAACAATAGTCCTGTGACATCTGTAGTTGAAAAAAAGGAACAAATTTGTCCTGACCAGAGTGAAGAAATGACCTACTGTGCAGCCCAAGTGGAGCAGCAGAGGACTGAGACAAGCCTGAGCAGTAGCTCCATGGGTGAGATGACTATTTTAGAAAATTGGCAGTGGAGCTTCCCAGGCTAAGCATTATCCATTTATAGAGCTTCCTGTAATGAACTGTGGAATTCAGTTTGCAAAGTTACTCAGTAAAGTAGTAAGTAGTTCATCATTCTAGTAGTAATGTTATACTTCTTTGTATGCTGCCTCACAAAAAATTACTAAAAATAATGTACTGACACCATTATATCAAAAGTATCAGAGAATCTCACTTCTAATTAGAGATCAACAATTCAATCTCAGAAGAATACAGAAACCAACTAGAAACTGCAGAATTGTTACCATTCTTGTCTCAGCAACTGAATACCCACTTCTCAGAATAGAAATCCACATGACAGGTTTATTTTTATAGTCTGTAATTCTAGGAACAAGGAAGGAGAAAGATGAACCTCCTCAGACATTTTCCATCTCATTTCTAGTGTTTACTATGTGCTTAATAGAATCCAGTCTTGTAGAAGAAAGACTTTCTTAATTTATTAGCTGTATTCTTTAATATTTCTTCTGGCTATTGATCATTCCAATTGCAGGAAACTAGAAGTTCCATGAAAAGGAGGTGGGTGGTTTTTAAATCTAGGATCGGTATTATGAAATGGAGTGATTCCATAAATCACGGTAGCTGTCTCCACAGAACACATACCTTTAAAGATGTTTTCAGACCTTAAAAAAAAAAAAAAAAAAAAAAAAAAAATTCCATTGCTTTGGCACACTAACATATCTTGTGACACCTTGATCTTTTTCCTGGTTAATGCGAAGCATGTGGTTGCCAGTTGATAGCTGCCATACAGTCAGGAGTTGGCTTTGTCTCTCTCGTGATGCATTAGTTTAAGGCCCTTCGAAGCCCTGCCGGGAGACTGTTTAATTAAAAGACATTATTATCACATTTTGTTTTGAAAAATAAAGTGAAGCAGCACTTTCACGTGCTTTGCAGGTCCTCCTGACTGCATTGCTTTGTCCCACTGAAATTATTCTTAAAGCCCAGCTGAATTTGCGTTCCTTGATGTAACAATCTCCGATATATACTATATCCTACTGAAACATTAATATTGTTATTCTGTAGTGGAAGGCTCAGGTGCATAAGGTAGATTTCTGGACTAAGGCAAAGTTGTATGGCCAAACAGAAATTTCCTTCTAGACATTTATATTTCTACATCATTGGTATACATTACTGGATTTTGGATATTGACCAAAATCAATGTACTTCTGCTCTGTTTGATATTTTTGTTTAGTGAATAGATGCACATATCCAGCATTTTGTGGGGTTTTGTTTGTGTGTTTTTTTCCCCAGAACAACTTGGTCAAGATGTGTTAAATTCCAGATCAGATCTAGACACACACAATAATTTAGTGGAACTTTCTCCTGAAGAAACACCGGTTGAAATTATGCTTGGAAAGGTAATGAATATCCTGAGGTACAGACAAGTTTTTCACTAGTCCAAGCCTACATCAAATAAATTGCTTTGGCTCTGGTAAGAAATGCTTAAGTACATGATCAATTTCAAGCCCACTGGACTTCACTGTATCACAGTTAATTCTTAAAATGAAATTGCATGAAATATTTGTCCTTTCTTTTGATCTATAAAGACTTATTTGAGCTGAAAGATTCTGTAGAAATTTACATTTCCCATAATTTAATGTTTTTTTTTTTTTTTGGTCAAACAAAATTTAGTGACAACACAAAAGATGGGGCAGGAAGAATGTCTGGGAAATGTTAAAAGCCATATTAAAAAATCGGGGTATGAGAGTCCAGATACTAGTTTGTACTAGCATTTATGACTTCTCGCTATGCATACAAAAGGCAAGTGGACTGAATGCTGAAATTGGTAGAGCATGTCTTTGAATGGCAGCACAAGACAGCTTCTCCATGTTTTAGTTACATATTCACCAATATGTGATGGAAACACTTTGGTAAATCACATTATCTAGCTGTCATACAGAGTCTTGCAGTAAAAGAAGACTCAGTAAAATTCTGACCATGCCTGGTTGTGAACCATGTGTCATGCCAAGTCTTTTCCCCATACTAAACCTCCTAGGGAGCTACTGATACTGATTTTTCCCTTGTATAGTGCGTTCAATCTAGTTACAAACTAAGTGTAATAGAGTGTTTGTATAGTATGAGTACATACTGCTTCTTTATTTCAATACAATTTATAGCCAACTACAGTAATACTGTCAGATTTTCATTAAAAACATGCTACTTCTTGTTTAGGTTACTGCAGGTGAAATTGGACCCTTCAGCTCAGTCAAACTTCAGATTATATTTGTTCCGGCTATCCCTGGGGATGTGCGGGCAGAGTTTGCGATCATGTTTGACAACTCAGACTGCAAACCAGTGAGTGATTTTGTGCAATACTTGCTTCAAAACACTGTAGAAAAAGAGTTTAAAATCCTCCTACTTCTGCTTTTCCCAAGAATTAAAATTGCTCAGAATCCTATATTAGAAACAAGAGAAGGAGGTAGAGGAAGATATGTTTATGAACATTATAAGAAATAACAATGAGGTACCATATGATTATGTATTATGTGGTTTGATGGGAGGTAACTTTGTAAATCATGGCCCTTCTTTCTGTTGCAGTATGGTTATTAAACCTGTTGATTCTCTTAAACTTCTATGCAAATAATCCTGATATTCCCATTTTATCAGACATCATGCTGGAAAACATCTAATGTCCTGGAAAGAAATACAAAAATATTCTTCTCTATTCCCAACTTACATAGTTTATTTTCTTTCTGATATATCAGAATTGGAATTATTTAGCATGCAGTAGTGAAACTGATGTGTGAAAGCTGGAAGAGATGATAACTTTAGTTACCACTTCAGTCTATTTTGATTCCACACTTTATTGGAAGCCAAATTCTGCCTGGGAACAGTTCACATAATCTTGCCAAAAAAATAAAGAAAAACTTCCAAGAAGCTCAGGAGGCCAGTCTTGGCTCTCCCCACGGTCTACAGATGGAGTAGTCTACAAAAGGAGCTGCAGGTGCATATTGCAGACTCCCATGGGTACCCTCTCTTTCAGGATCATTTTATCCAAGTTTGAGCTATGTGGTCACTGATGTCAGACCTCAGGTCATTATAGGAGGTACAGCACTGTGCTGCCATTACTATATTTCTTTGCTGGCTAAGCAACCTGCAGCCTCTTGAGTTTCTGAATTATGGCACCTTCACTTAAGCTAGGTGCACTTTAAATATTTCTTTTCAATGTCATGGGCAGCATGGTATTCCATCACGTTCTCTGTCAAAGAATCCAAAAAAGTACAATTCTTTTTTCTGCTAGGGCACCATAACATCTAGGTTTTATTTTACAAATTATTTCTATAGCTTTGCCTAATTAAAGAACCTGTTGCAATATGAATAATAAAATATTTTACTCACCTGTAGTTTACAGCAGAAATTCTTGCTCTGTCTAGATCAGTAAGACTTTGAGACTAACAAAAATAATTACACTCTTGATTTATGTATTAACAGCTGTGCTTTAGTGCCATTGGAGTTTCAATTGACGTGCCGGTTTGGGTGCCCAATCCCAACATTGATTTAAAGATCTGTATGTATGACCGACTTTATCAGGATCGCATTGTCATTCAAAGCAGGTGAGCTACCCTTTCATTACCAGCTGCCTTCTATAGCTAAATAATGAGATCTTAAGTCACTAGGTGATGTCTTGAGGTTCCATTGTGCCAGACCCATCTTGTCATCGCAGGAAGCTGAAGAACAGTTTGGTCTTTTCTTTGGCATTTCAGAAGGACATCCTGATTACAAGGTCTGAGTTCCACACTTCTGTGGAAATTGGACTTGGGTATCATACTATCCCGGATTCCGAAGACCAGCCGTAGCTATGAAGTATCTGGGTTAATACATGCCCTTCCACACTGACAAGATTCCCTGTGTTGTACCTGTTCTGTGGCATAACTGTAAAGTCCCTAGGGAACAGCAACCCCACAGAGTTTCACCATGTGGAATCTGCACACTAAACATTAGGGAGATAAATGTGTCTAAAATTAAGTGCACATTGGGTATAATTGATTCAGCCAGAAATTTTATGAAAGAATATTTTTTCTCAGCTATTTTACCTTTAATTAAAGTCCATGGGAGACTTACGACCTGGAAGCCAGCCTCATGTCATCTATTCTTTATTGGGAAGGTCAATCACCAGTCTTTCCAGACTTGGGATATGATGCTGGACAAATCATGTCAGTCCTTTTGCATTTGCTATAAAATGGGAAGAGTACAACTTTTCCTAACTTTTCCTAGCCTATGTAGGCATTAAGCACTGCACCGGAGTGACAGATACCTTGTAAGTACACAGATAGTGACCAAATACCAATTTACAGGGGAAAAAATATCTGGGTGTTTCTGTAGTCCAAGTCAGTAATGTCTGAAGACTGGTTCTGTTTGCACTGTAATATAAAGATAATATTTCAGCTCATTGGCTCCCAGAGATTTCATGCTATTAGAGAGTGGTTACATGAACTTTTACTCTCTTAATTGTCTTCAGGTGCTGGGTGTCTTCCCTCTACCTAATGCAGTCACTATTGAATACTTATTTTAATATTTGCATTTCTTAAATTCTATTTAAATAGGATTGGGGTGGGTTTGTGGGAGGGTGGGGGAGAGATTGGTGCCGTAGAAGGCATCCATTCTAAACCTCTTACCAGAATTACAGACTGCAGAGACTCCTTACTGTTGGAAAGAAATGAGTAAAGCTGTTATCTCAGAAATTCAGCTTACAGATATGACAAGCACAAGTTGTTATGTAAGTGATTTTACTTGGTCTAGATAACCCAGGGATAAAACTTATAAGTATAGGAGCAGAATAACTCTCCTAATGAAAACTTAAGATTTCAAGGGGATCCCAAAGATAGAAGCTGTCAAATTGCTTAGGCAACACTTCTTAACTGAGGGAAAAATCCTGCTGATCCTTCGCCAAGTTGCACTAAATTAAGAACACTTAATATGTAGTGTGCCATCCTTAGTACCTTGGCAAATCAAGTCTTTGATTTATCAACCCAATTCTTCATAGTTAAGAAAAATTGTCTTTGTATACAGTCATTTGGGCTGAAATTCAAAGTATTTCATGTGCAGGAATATGTCTCAACTTTTTACCTGGAAAAGTAGATAGATTTCATCATTCAGGTGCTGCCTGAGAAGTTTCTTCCTCTAGTAGATTTTGAAATTTTCTGTAGCGTGTATCAGGAAGAAGATTCCTCATTGTTACATGGTACATGTCAAACCACTTCTCAAACAGACTGAATTTAAACTGCTGAAAATAGCTATAAATTTCTATCAGTCAAGAACAATTTTTTAGGTTAGACTAGTGAGTAGCTGTATTTTAATTGCAATAGTGAAAAACTGGGGAAAGATAGTCTTGCTAGGATCTATGGTCTGGAACTCTGCACAGATCCAGAGCCAAGGACAGTTATCAGGCTAGCAAAGAAGCATTCAAACTGCTGTCAACATACAAACAAAGGTAAAAGTTTGTTACAACAGCTTTATGTGTGAATTGTGTATCAGCTAAAGAGTTACTACAGTGCTGTCTGTGAACTAATGCTCGTAGCAACCATTCACTGAAAGAGACAAAAGGTAAGGCTTCCACAGCCCAGCTGAAAAGGCTGCTTGTCTAACAACTGCTGAAATGCTTTAGCTAGTGAGAACTAAAGTTCAGATCCAGTAGGTGTGAAATCTTACTAGCATAACTTCTAGAACACAGATTCTTTAATTAAATGTTAATTAGATACTTAAATAATCCTGCTATTCAGGAATATTCTTGCAAGTTTCTGCTCCAATCCCTAACTAGTTATAGAAAAAAAAAATTATAAATTGTAGCAAGAGAATTCTTTAGATTTTCGGGGCAGAATCTGACGCAGACCTGAGGGAGATGATGTGTTAGAATAGCCTTTCGTTCACCACCAGTACACACAAACATCTGACAGAAGCAGAGCAGAAAGAACTTGCCTGTATCTTATTGCTGCTCCAATCTATGACATTGTAGTCTATAGCATAAGTAGAAGATCAAGTTTTCAAGTTAGTTAGATAGCTCTGGCACTTAAGTGCCCCAGCAAACTCTGTAGAATTGCAAAATGTTAGTTAATACTGTTTTTGGTTTTGATTTGGGTTTTGGGTGGGCTTTTTTCTGGTCACATAGAATACAGTAATCAGGAAGCATAAATAAGCAGCATAAAGGGTGAAAGTGTCTTATCAGAATCCTGTCCAATATAAATCACTTTGAAAAGTAATTTCTTTGGCAGGTTATAATCTGCACTGATTTAATGAAGTAGTATATAGTTCTCTTAGATTGTCAACAGTCAGAAATGATTCCAGGCTCCCAGTACCACATGCTATAGCTGTTGATTTAGAGCAGACCATCTGGACTGACAGCTTGTAAACCAGTCCAAGAGAAGGAAAATGACAAGCTGAAATATTTGTAAATTGCTTAGCAATTTTGCACATAGGCATAAAATTCCAAAGCAGGGTATGGTCTGTGGCTATCGCTGCATTATAATATGGCCAGAATTCAGTAAACAGTGAGATGTTTCCTAGCTTCCAATATGCTGTTCATAGGGCAAAACGATCACAAGTTTTAGCAGAGGACCTGGCAGTACCAGCTTAGCCACACTATGACTTCTAGCCCTGTAGAATCTCTGCTGTTAGAGGAGAAGTTACAAGAGATCTGTGAATTCACTTTAATTAAAAGAAGTCACCACAGTTTTAGGGAGAAAAACCAAAAGCAGCAGTGCTCTCAGCGCATTTCTGGCATAAGACACCCTTCTCCCTTCCCCCCCTGCCCGAAGTTTGAGGGTTTTTTCCTGCCTGTAGAGGCTTAATTTTTGGTATTGGAGGTTTTGAGATAATTATGATGATAATGAGGATGAATGGAATTCACAAACTGGGTACATGTTGATGTTTTAGGTGTATTATGCTCTTTCAGGTTCATTCTTTTATTCTTCTGACTACAGGCTGGGACATTAAGTGCTTGTTAGCCACTTAAGCAGCATCTAGGTATCCTTGGCCCCACTTAGGGGTCACTGGTCTTCATTTTTCTGTTTCTCAGACAGAATAACAGGTTTTTATTTGTTGCATCCCACCCACAACCAATTGTTACACAACCTAGATCCAGCATTACAAGACAACTACTCCTTTTCCATCTTGAGTGGGTTCTGTGCTGCAGCTAGGACCGATTAGGCATCTCAAACATTACGTGAGTCATTTGTCAATTCAGATAGAGGGAATGTATGTTAGGAGCAAATAATTAGCTGATATTTCACAGTAATTTGGCTTTGACTTTCCCCTGACCTGACTTACCACTGTACTGCACTTTGATAATTATGTTCCAATCAGCTGTGTACATGGCTTGAAATACAGCTGGGTTTACTTACAGTACTTCCAAAATCTTGTTTTCTATACTTATCTTAAAAGAGAATACAACTGTGTGATTTTGCTGTAGCAGTTTTACATGCCCTTCATTTTCAAAGGAAGCTTGGAATAGTTACAATCATAATGTAGAGTAGAGATGCAAGGGCGTGGGGGGGGGGACCAAACTCCAAGAGCAAATGTTGCTGAGGTGGCAGTACGGGTGGCCTCAAAAGACACCTAAGCATGTCTGATCTGTTTGCAGAGCAAAAGCCACACTGCGTTTGAAGTTTGAAGTATGCAAAGAATTGAGTAAGCACATGGAGCTGCTTCCAAAAACAGGTTACATCCAAGCTCAGTCATCCTTCAGTGTGCAATTGAAGTTTCTGCCCAGGTAACCTAAGAACATTAATCTTTTCAGTATTTAAGACAGTATCTGTAGGAGGCTGTCAGTGGAAAACCTGAACAGGTCAAAGTTTTTTCTTCCTTCACATTATAGCAGGCTGGACTTCACACTGCTGGTGTCAGCACAGTCCTATCTTCCCCCTCCCTCCCCCTTAAAAGTTGCCAGATGCTCAAGGAGGAAATTAACTTGGATCACATACCTGTGAGGAAATGCTTTTCCTGTGGTGACAGCAGTAGTGTGAAAATCTTAGCAGTTGCATTCCTGGTAGGCTGCTCCCATTTCTGTGGGGAAGCTATTCTTATACAAGAGAGAGGTTATCTAGGCCAGGTGGCTACTTCATGGATCACTGATTAAATTTCTGGACAAGAACTCCTGTGCTTGCTAATTAAGGTAAGAATGGTTGGGCTTCCTGTTCATATCTATCCTACCTGTGTACGTTTTTCTCCAAAATATGAATGTATTGATCTTGAATTTCATATGGCATTTTACATAACATCATCTAAGATGCTAAAAGACTTATCCCAGCACGTTTCTTTTCTCCATTTCACGATACATCTACATATACAAACATAACTCAGTTACAGGAAACAAAGAATTCCAGTTTTTAAAAATTTAAATACAAAAGCTCCTGTTGACCACTGTTAATTTTATTTACCTCATCATTGCCATCCTAAAGAATTTGGCAGGACATTTCTTTTCAAATATAAATTAAATGATACAGATCTTAATTCTGGTGCACAGCCAAATACTTTGGCGGCTTCTGCACTGATTGCTGCTGCAAACCTGCTGCTTTTTTCATATAGGTTATGTAGTCCTATTGATGTAAGTGTATTTGGATTTTCACTGATGTGCTCAGCATCTCTGGATTCTAACTTGAGAGTCTAATCACTGATTTTGAAATTTTCACCAGGTTAGTATTCAAAGAACTGAAAGTATTTACAGTTCTTCCAACATCTCAAATCCTATCAGATTACAACAGTAACCATTATTATGACATTTTTCAGTTCCTAAACTTCAGATGCTATAAAGCACTGTTAGAGTGGATAGAAGCATAGCTTAGATTTAGAACACTAATCTTCCTTTGAAAAATGGGGAAGCTTCAGAAAGGAGATTTGATGAGATCAAGGCATTTCTGACACACAAAATAACTATCTGGCTGTTTCAGTATACAGATCAGTTTTAAAAGACCTAACACACAGGGGAGTGAGTGTATGACAGAGAAAGGTGAGCTTGCTACAAGCTGATGTGAAGTACTGCGCTATTTCTGTAAATCCCTCCTCATTGACTTAGTGTTATAAGCTATGTTAATAGAATAGCTATATTAAAAGTTACACAAAAGTAAAAAGAAACACTCATTCAGCAATACTAAGTGAACAGGTAGATGACTGAAGGCTTGGGAAGTTCTCCTGGGTATTTTGTGCATACAAATGCTTGGTCAGATGTTACAATACTCGACTTCCTGGGTGTTTGAAGCAGACATTTTCTGTTTATTTGAAGGCAATATTGTCTAATCTACTGACTTTCAGAATTCCCAAATACCACATCTTTTAGTTTTTCTGCATTTGGAACTAGTCCTGCAGATGGACTGGAAGTCTAAATCTGATTTGTCTTTTATGCTTCTCTTTAATTTCTTTTAAGCATGAAGATGCCATTTTCAGAGAACTATTTGAAGGATTTCAGTATCTTTTCCCCAAGGTATAACAGCTAATTTACAGTCCATCACTGTGCACGCAGTTACAATTATTTTTTTTCCCTCTGGATTATTTTGTAATAGATTAATTTCTTCTGCTATTCTAATGTTCTGTCACAAAGTGAAAGCTGATTGTCATGGTTTAACCCCAGCCGGCAACTCAGCCCCACACAGCCGCTTGCTCATCAGTGGGATGGGGGAGAGAATCAGACGAGCAAAAGTGAGAAAACTCGTGGGTTGAGATAAAGACAGTTTAACAGGTAAAGCAAAAGCTGCGCACGCAAGCAAAGCAAAACAAGGAATTCATTCACTACTTCCCACCGGCAGGCAGGTGTTCAGCCATTTCCAGGAAAGCAGGGCTCCATCACGCGTAACGGTGACTTGGGAAGACAAACGCCATCACTCCGAACGTCCCCCCCTTCCTTCTTCTTCCCCCAGTTTTATATGCTGAGCGTGACGTCATATGGTGTGGGATATCCCTTTGGTCAGCTGGGGTCAGCTGTCCCGGCTGTGTCCCCTCCCAGCTTCTTGTGCCCCCCCCAGCCTGCTTGCTGGTGGGGTGGGGTGAGGAGCAGAAAAGGCCTTGACGCTGTGTAAGCACTGCTCAGCAGTAACGAAACATCCCTGTGTTACCAACACTGTTTCCAGCACAAATCCAAAACATCGTCCCACACTAGCTACTATGGAAAAAATTAATTCTATCCCAGCCAAAACCAGCACACTGATACTTTATTCCTACCTTGTATTTAACTCCAGTTCCTATCTCTAAACAAGTTAGCAATACCTTTGAAGATCACCTTCTAAAGTCACGTTTCAGACTTGTAAAATAACAGCCAGCAAGATTTCAGATCACCATGGTGACTGAGTGGGTGCTATTTATTCATTAACTATTCTTTAACAATACGTGAAAAAATTGCATGTAATTCCAGTAGTAGTACTAGGAACATTATCACTGTGGAGACCTAAGAACAGGAAGCAATTCACTCTGATGCTGTAAAACACTATAAATAGACCAGCAGAGCTAAAAATGCTAGAGCTTTTGTATTGTCTTGGCTTGAAGCTCTGAAATTAAGCTTATGACAGCAAGATGCTTCAGCTACAGAAAACCCACATATTTCTTATAAATTACTAATCTGGTATATAATCAGACACTATTGGTCTCCAAGTTTGTTTCACTTTATTTATGTCTCTGTGCTTTGTGATACAGTTGGTTCTGCCTCAAACTGGGTGGTAATTAACTAACATCAGTGTCAAAAGGAAACGGTTGCCTGGGTTGGGTTGGTTACGTGCTGTGGTTGCAGCAAAGATGCAGAAGGCTTATATTCTGATTATAAAATAAGCTTTAAAATTTTCAGAATTTTAAATGACTGGATGGCATTTTAGAAAATGATAAATGGATGCAGACCTCTGTGAATGACTCCCTTAAACTCCTGTGTGTCCAAAATCCTGTCTTTAAAAAAAAAAAAAATCCAACATTAACATACAAGGTCAATTATTCTAACTTCATTGCTAGATACCCTTGCAATCCGTGCATACCTGCTGAGAGCAGATTGTCTGGAGGTATGCCATTCTATAGGAAATCTGTGACAAGTCCATAATATTTCTGATCTGACTGCATCTTCTTTTTCTTGGTCAGAAGGTGGAACTTCATAGGTCACTAATTTTTGATTGGCGTTTTCTTCCACCATTTTCCCTAATATTTGCATATATCGTGCATACAAGATTTTAGTTAGACTTAACTTCAATGAAGCCTTGGAGTTGATGCTTAACCAACTATATATGTGAATACTCCTCTTTGAGCACAAATACTGTGTTAAGATTAAAAGCTGTGAATGATAAAACTTTTAGACCTTAAATAACAGGTTTGGGTTTTTTTGTTTTTGTTCAGAAATACATCCATCAAAAGTTTATTATTCCCCTTAGCTAGAAAATAGTAAAAATATTTTCGTGAAACTGAAGGTACTTTTTGATTTTTTTAGGCACTCTCTTCCTGAAGATGCAGGGAGCTATTTTAATGAAGAGACAAGAATTCTGGAAGTTCCAGTGACAATACTGATTGTGGATAAGGTTAGTGATTTTTATTATGCTGGTTATCAGACTGACAATAGATGTCAATTATTTTAGTGAATGTTCACTTAATGATACCTAATCTTAGATGAGTTCTTTACCAATTGAAGTCCTATGGTGATAGTAAAAGGTGCTTGAAGTGATAATACAGATTTGATAGTTTCTTCTTGTCAGCAAGTTTACAATACAGAAAGTTAAATCCTTTCTAGTTAGTGCTTATGTATTCCCTAAGTAGTTTATTTTGTACCAGAGAGTTATCAGATACCATAGCACAATCTTTTTATTCTGATCTGTACTGCAGGTGTAGCATATTCTTAGAGTTTTTTTTTTTTTTTCCTATTCTTAGAGTTTTTCCATTTCCTGGAGATGCAGGTGTGATTCTATTCTAGCATATGGAATTGGAGATATAGTTTTTTTTTTTTTTTTTTTTAATTTTGCTTATCAAAGAGATGTTTCCTATTGCTTATTTTGGGAGAACAGTGAGGCTGAAGTTCAAGGTAGATATGTTACATTTACATATGTTATTGTCAAGGAATAGAGTAGAATAACTTTTTTGCAGTTATCTTTTTGGATGACATTTCACTTAAATCCTGTCCCTACAATGCCACAGAGGTTTTTATCCTGTGCTCTTGCATTTGTTGCAGGCTAAAACAGTTAATTTTACTGTCCATGCAATTGTTACTACTTCTGATTTGGAAATCAGTCCAGCACAAATCAATTTTGGATACTGCACAATCTATGAAGCTGTGCAGGCAAATGTCATGCTAACAAACAAATCCATCTTGCCACAAGAGTTTGGATTTGTGGGACTTCCAGAGGTATGTAGTTATCCCACGCACACCTCTTCTTGTATCAAAATATATTTCATTATTATGAAGACATGTTTCAATGTGAGTGTAAATAAATCATGACTGGTTCTTGCAAACCCATGGACATACCTCTGCCTGCAGCACTGTGGAAACACGCAGATTCGTTCTGGTACTGGCTTGTGTAAAATTTATCTTATTATACCCTAAGCATTTCCCTAACAGTATAAACATCTTCGAGGACATTTTACTATTCTCACCTACATAACATTATTAGGCTAACTTTATCCTATTAGAATACCTATTTTTTACACCAAGAAATCTACTAACAGAATATCTGGTGCACTTTTTCTTTCAGACTCACAGGTCGCTTATACTACTAAATAAAACAGGCTTAGGGATGTTGCTTTGGCCTTGAGGCTGAGGAATATCGCACAGTTTGCATCCAAATGCCTAAACACTTTGTCTTTAAAGCAGGATGGCCATGTCCAAACTGCTTATTGGGAATCATCCCCTGAACCATGCCTAGGTATTTTCTGACTGTAAGTTGACGTGGAAGCTAAATTAATCACAGGAGCTGCCAGTTTCGTGTGGGCTAGGTCTACTGGATTTTTTTTTTTTTTTTCTCTTCCCCCCTCCAAAAAGTTAGCTGTTCAAGCTTCATAATAGCATGATGATCGCAGTGTGAAACGGTTTGGCATATTGGAATCAGAGCTAGAGGAACCTGACATTTAATTAGGCATTCTCCCTTTCTCTGCTGTTCTAGGGATTAAAATCGAGGAGTTAGCTAGAAGAAATTGGCATCTTCAGCTTCGTTAAAGCTTTACTTCACAGCATGTGTTTCATGATTAGCTTAAAATGTGATGGGGAGACATTCTTGAATCATCATCAACTTAAACCAATATACATTTGTAGATATTAAACTGGTACTTGTCACTGTGGTATCTGCACATCATACAGGAATCAGCTCTTCAAAGATGCAGGGGGAACTGTTGAGATTTTTGTCATATTTCATTCAGTTGTCTATGAAGAGTAAATAAACATCATTAGGGAAAGGTGATTACCATAGATGGTAAGAAGCTGGGGAAGAGATTCTGCTAAAGTCTGAGTTAATGGATTTAATGCCTTTCAAGTTACTTTGAGATTAGAAATCTGTATGTCAGTCAGACACTAGTCACTAACTCAGATGAAAGCTTCTCACTAGAAGGTTTCTGTTTTCCTGACCCTTGTACATTTCATAACAAAATTTTCTTATCTTGCCAGTAATGTCTTATTTTAATTTATTAATAATTTGATAATTTAACTAATAATTTCTTATTTTAATAACAATAATTTCTTATCCTGCCATTTTGAAGTTTGTTGAGATTCAGCCCAATGACGGACTTGGAATTCTTCTTCCCCTTGAAAGCCTGACATTGGACATAATCTTTAAAGCTAACAAGGCAAAAGAGTACAGCTTTGAACTAACCTGCAAGTCGGAGATTAATAGGTATGTTAAGAAACTGATTGAGTAGTAGGTAATTCAGAAATCTAAATCAGACTGGATTTCCACTGTTAGGCTAGTTCAGAAATTAAATCCGTGCCTGCTTTGAAGAGGTAAGGCTAGGATAAAAATGTGAGGCAGGTAAGAATTCTCCAGTTGACAGGAGTTGCTCAATGGCTGTTAGTTTCATCCTTTGTTTACATGTCTGTCTTTACTGAGATGACTTTTCCTGTCCCACCTGAAATTTATCCTTGTCACATATCCAAGCTGCAAGTTCGCCCCAGGTCGTCTTAACCTGCAATGTTCTGCATGCTTTTTCAGCAGAATTACTGAAGGATTTTTTTTGTAAAAATGCTTCATACATTAAGCTAATGCTGTTAAAATAATTATGGCATAAACTTTGATTTGACTGGATATATTTCCAGAAGTTCATAGAGGAAGAATTCAAGTAGGGACTCTAGCCAATTGTGCATTAAAAATAGATAGTATTATTGTTCTTCTTTAGGCAAAATTCCCATTGCAAGCTTGAAATTCTGCTTAAATAGGGACTACAGGATTAGTTCCCTATTTTCCGGGCTGATTAAGAGACTATTTTATGCTGAGACAATTTATCATGTGTTTATTTTTAGACAATTCAAGCTGTCATGCAAAGCAGTTGGAGTCCACCCACCTCTTGAATTGTCTCATTCCTTAGTTCAGTTTGCTGCAACAGCTTTAAACAGTGTGTCTACAGCAACACTGTACGTGATGAATTCCCATATGAGTGTCAACCACTGTACTCATGCTGTCCCAAGAATTGGCAATGGGGAAGTTGCCCCTGTTGGACCCACTTCATTTGAATTCTGTGTGCCAGAAGACTGTCCAGTGACAATTACACCTTCTGTTGGAACTGTGTTGCCTGGGAAGGTAAACTCACTTTAAACGTCAAGTGTTCTGCCAAATCTTTTGATCATCTACATCCCTACAAATGCTGTCACTTGTAAACGAAGGTCAAAATGTAAATTGTTATTAGAATAGCTGGAATATTTTGTATTGTTTGAAATAATGTTTTAAATCGGACACGAGGGGTTAACCATCAAATCTGGCTAAAGCTTTATGGGAGTTTTCACTCTGAATGTTCTTTCGTCAGTGTTGCCGTTATAGCTTATTTGAAGAATGTTTAAATATCAAAAATATTGGTCATGTAAAACCAGCCCACCATAACATAGTGGACTTCCAAAAAAGCTGCAAGTGGCCTTATCCTTAGGATCATCTTATTCACGTGGAAAAAAAAAATTGTATTTTATTTGTTAATTTTTTGCTGTCATGCATATGCTCCTATTGAGTTTTGTAGGTATAACACATGTATGAGGGCTGAATTTTGCTTATCATTCTTGTGTATGCTCTCACACTCCCAGAAAAGCTTGATTCAAGTGTCCTTCAGACCAACACTGTCAGATCAGCTAATCAGAGAAGAGGCAGTTCGGAGGCTTTGCAGAGCAGCTGCGACAGGGGCAGAAATACAAGTAAGGAATGCTAAGAACTAGCACATGCTGTTGGTCTGTTACTTCCAGATATTTGTTTCGCTGGATGGTATTTTTATCATAAATTATCTGCATATTAATGAAGCCCAAACTCATGATCCATGTAAGACCTGCCTATAAAGGGCAAGAGTATGACTGTACTGTTGCACTTAATGTGTAGTCTGTTCACTGAGCAATAAATTAATTTCATGCTAACAATTTCAAAAGCATTCCTAGAGGATTTTCTTGCAAATGCTAACTGCAAGTACTCTTAAAAAAAAAAAAAAATTTTTTTTTACTTCCTACAGTATGTGGGTCAGTTAATTTATGTGAGCACCTATGGTTGTCTTTAATTATGAGATAAAGAGGTAAAATTCCCATGAGAGAGACAGCCTTTTACTCGTCTGCTCCAGTAGGGGAACTCTTTTGTTAAGATGGGGTAAAATATGTCAATTTCAACTTAATTTTACATTATTAGAAATGTATGTAACAACTACTGTGTCTATGGCTTGTTACCATGATCCTACTGCTGTTACCTTGTTTTATGCTCTCTGCCACCTCTTAGGTTCTGTGTTCTTGGGCCAGGGGCTGTGTATTTGTAAATTGATGTCTTGATTGGGTTACCGGTGATCATCCTCAGTGTATAATGTCTCTGTGTGTGTATTTGCAGAAAAGGAAGAAAGATGAAAAGAGAGAGGGAAAGAAATTAAGCATTTCGATTACCAGACAGCAGTCTTCCAGCCAGCTTGTAAGGGATGGAGACAGTAAATACCTGACATCTCTATATAGTTCTGAACAACCAAAATCCAAAGACTTAAAGCCTGAGTAAGTCAGCAAAAGCATCTTGTACTACGTAGACAACATTCTCTTCATAAGTAGTTGTAATAAATCTATTAAAACCTATAGGTAGACAAGAAAGCAAACTGTAGAGAAGAAACAGCTTTAGCTGTGTTGCAAAGGCTGTTTCCAAAATTAGTACTGCTTTTAAGCCACACAGCTGTACCCTCTCATGTAAGGCAAAGAATCCCTTTATGCATCAGAGGGATTGAAGACTTCAAAGAATATATCAGAAAGCATGAGCTGTGGCTGTATGGGTAAATTTGGCTGAACCAGCAAGGGTATTATTTTAAAGGGCAACTAGAAAGCTGAACTTAGTTACCAAAAGAAACAACTACTAATACACCTTTTCTGAATAGGTCTAACAGAGCTGAATACATTCAACCCAGACAAAAACCATCTGATGGCCCATATCCATGGCTATGGGTTATTTTTTTTTTTTTTTTTTGAGGGCTTACATAGTCCATCATATTAGTCATGGTCATCTTCAGTCCTGGAAATGTAATGATGCTGTAAAATGTGCATTTTAAGTCGTCATTTTACAATATGTGTACCTCAGTGAGAATTCACATTAATAGCATGTGCTATCTAGAAATTTGGATACTTAGATGCAAAATCTGATACTTGAGGTCCCTTGTTTAGCATATAATTCAACTTTTTAGAACCACACTTCTGTCTAATCTGAGGAATTTAGAAGTGTTTGGAAGTAAATACATGCTTAAACACCAGGCATTTGGCTGTACTGGATGTTAGATATTTTTGACTAAAATCCCATGTTCATTGCAATCCATTAATTATAATTTTAAAATACTTTCAGTACAGGTCATAAAAATAAAATTTGTATTTTAAAATTCCCATTATGAATTATTGTTTGGCATACTGCATTACAGAAATGTGAACATGTGTGTTTACATATCATTGAAATAATGTAGAAGTACTGGAAGACACTGGAATGCTTGATGTATTCAACATAAGGAAATCGTGCTGAGGATTTTGCAATCTTTAATATAACATCTATTATCTGGGTTTATAATTTTTATTCTCTTTTGGCGAGAAAAGCAAACTACTTAGTAGGGTGAGTCCATTACTGTGCATCAAGACAGTTGCTTAGTTTCACTGTTATGTTCAATTTTGAATGTATGACTAAGAAACAGTAAGCACAAATAGCTCAGTAGATATTTATTTGATTTTTTTTTTTTCCTTGCTCTCTCACTTACTGAGATGGTCCTTATTCCTGGATTTTCTAGTTCTGATGCTTATATGGCAGCGCAGGCTTTCCTGATGAGGAATTTCAGTGGGAGGTTTGAAAAATACATCATACCGTGCTTTGTTGCAAGTGGACATATTGATGAAAAGAAAGGTTCTGAAAACTTAAGCTGCAGGTATTTGCAATTAGATATTTGCAATTCATGATAGTTCAGAAATTTGACGGCAAAACGGTGGGCATGTTAATTTATTCATTTGGGGAGGAAATTTGTTTTCTCATCTTAATTACTTCATAGGTCTGTGGTAGAAACTCATGCTTACAACCACTAGTTGTGTAAGAATCAAACACATGAATATCAAAGCAGCTTAAAGAATAATTGTATGAAAAATTTAAGCCAGATGTAATTCATCTTTCTGCTTAGACAGAAAGTCAGCCACCAAAAATTATGTATTGTTTTGTAATACCAATTTAATTATATCCTGTGATATGAACAGAATAAGAACGGATTTCTGACAACGGTTTTTATTTCTGTATGATCCAAGAGCAAATGTCCTTTTACTATCTCTTTAGCCCTTACAACACTTTGTATTTGGAGGTGCACTGTCCAGCTGTAGCACCGTCTGTTGTGGTCACTTCAGATAATGGAAAAAACACAGTCAATTTTGGTGATGTTGCAGTAGGTATGAAATTTGAATTCAAGTTTTGATTTTTTTTCTGTCTGATGTTAATTTCTTCTGAGCATGGTTTTGCATTTTCTTGTACATTGTTCAGTTGGTTTTCAAAAGTCAATATAAAAATTAGCCCTGTAATAGGTACTTAGGTGGAAAATTAGGAGCCTATCTGGCCAGCTGAGGCATGTAAAAAAGCAGATTTGATCCCAAAACATGGAATTGGAAGCTCTACAAGTGACTGTCCAAATTTGAAAGTATTTTGGTGAGCTTTGACTAGTGTATTAGCCATAGAAACGGAATGAATGTTTGGCCCAGGTAGAAGCCTGAGTAAAAAGGAGGAATGGTAGTACATGAGTGAGCATCATCACTTTTTGAAATGTTTTCTTTGTTTTCAGGCCACAGAATGATTAAGCGAATTACAATACAAAATATCTCCCCAGAGAAGATGGAAGTATCCTTGTCTGAACATGTAAGTTAATCTGCCATTCAGCTTCGGTTTAATTTGACTCTATCTGTAGGAGGAACTGTTTGACACTAAAGCAAGTAGGAGGTAGCGGATTTCAGACTTAATACACATCTTTCAGAGTGAGGCAGGAAGTGATGTAAAGAATATATTGGACGAGCCTAGGTGACCCTCTGGAAAGCTAATTCCATTTCACCCTTTTAACTGGAAATAATTCTGCATAGAGCCAAACTTGAGAAGCACTTAACCACTTTCTAAAGAGTATAAGGTACTGATGACAAAGCTAGTTTCAATACAGTGTGACGTATGTGTGAAACAGAACCAACAACTCAATCTTTGCACAATGCTTCTCCGAATTTCTGAGTACCTTGTAAGAAGAGGCTACTACACTGGCTTGTGTGGGGTAATAGAGGAGAAGGCATGTCCTGGATCTTAGGGTGTTAATGACCCATTCCAGGCAAAACCTGAAAATGGAGTTCATGGAGGATCTTGCAGCTATTTGAATTCTGTGGGGAAAAAAAATAATTACATTAGTTCTTCTTTTCTCTGAGTTAGTTACTGATCTCTGAAAAAGCTTATAGATGGTTAGTTTATACATCTTTGGTGTGAACAATACTTAGAATCTGTTCTTATATCTCTTTCCCCAAACCTTGCTTATAAACTTTTTTCCTTGAGTTGCACTATTTTAGCTAGGATTCTCAGTTCTGAATCCCAATGGTCCCTTCCTGTTGGTCAGACCAGTTGGAATGCTTGAGCCGGGTGAAAATAAAACCGTCATCATCTCTTTTTGTCCAAATGAGAGTAAATGGGTGAGTAAGAGATACAACAGTAATGGAGAAAAAGAGGAGGAGACATGTAACAGGCTGTGTAATATACACATATTACTGACTGGGATGAGGCTGTATAATAATAAGAAAAACTTCATTGCCTGTGCATAGCCCCTCCCAACATCTGGATCTTTGTCTATGCAGTAAATCCAGAAGTTCTGTCGTAATGGCCCACTTGTGGGAGAGGGGTCAGTTGGAGGGGTGGGGGACGTTTTCCTTCAGCAAAGGGCTAACACAGACATCCTCTTGGCAGTTTTTTGAAATGCTGGACATCCGGACAGCAAAAACCAATCTAACCCTAAGTATCACTGGTCGTGGAGTGATGCCATCAATTGTTTGCTCTGTGGAAGAAGAACTCAATATGGGATATGTCATAGCCAGAGAGAAGGTGACTTCCACGTTCAAGGTAAATCCCTCTGTGCTGAACCAGAAAGCACATCAGCAATTTTTGTAAGGAGGAAGAGGAGTTCTGTAGTTTCTAGTCCAGCAGAACGTAAGGCTGAATGGTAAACTGAAGACAATAGAACGTAGCTTTAAAAGCACATCTGGCAGAACGATTTGGTGCTGAGACAGTTTCAGGCCAAAGGTAACAAAGCTGTGTGGGGAGGATCTTGTTAGCTGCTTCTGTCCTGCCTGCAGCCTGTACGAAAAAATAGAGATCCAGTACCTTCTATAAAAGAAAAAGATAAATGGTCTGTGTGATCTTCTCCATAGACCTAGCCAGTATGCAGAGGGATGTGAAGTCAGAAATGTCTTTGCTTTTACCAGTGTTAAAAATATTTGCCCTTTCTTTATTCTGTCCATTACTGCTATCACAACTGAGGCTGCTCTGTGTCCACACAAAGCAGTGACAGAGGTACACGGGTGAAATGCAAAACTGGTCCTACAAAGAGCACCTGAGGGTCTGCCATGGTACAGTCTAGGGAAGCTTAACCGATTCACTCATTCATATACTGCAAATTCCCACAGACTCAGAAACAGGCCAAAATCTAGGCATAATTTTTCTCCTCTCAGATTTTGTCTAAGTATGTCAATAACCAAAATATATTACTTGCTGCAAGACTCTTTTTAAAAGGAGCCTGGTCCCTGTTGTCGGGGGGCAGCGGTTGACATGACATGTTACGGGTAGCAATAACGTGTGCTTTCGGTGGCATCTGGGTACACAGTAGTGCAGTAATGCAGCAAAAAAAATTCAGCCAGTTCACAAACTATGGACCCTACAGCCTTAGAATCAATTTTCTTAATGAAAATGCTGTTGTGTGAATTAATGTCATCAGATACAGAACACTTCCACACTGACCCTGCGATACTCCATACAACTAGACTCACTTTCATCAACAAGGGACAAAGATCAGCAGAGACTTCCATCATTTATCACGTCCTCTTTGCAGAGAACAGAGTTTGTTGGTAAACTTGGTTTTTTTTTCTTTTCTCTTCTTCTTTTGTTAAAGACTCATGAAGTATAAAAAATACTTTGTCCTGTTAGATCTACATAACTGTCAATACCTGGGGCATCACATCACTGAAATTAAAGACATAATTTTGTTTTCCCCAGTAGGAGCTCTACTAATTCTTTCAATATGTGTAGCTGTAAATTTATGCAGCCTGAGCAAATATCCACAAGTAAGGAGATACTAGTGTCTGAATCTAAATAAACCCCCACAGTAATTGCGTATTAAAGATTATATTTAGGGATGTCCATCTCTGTAAAACCACATGTTAGAGTATAGGAAGGGTTTGGTGATGCTTCTTCAGTTCCCCTAGAGATGCATTAAACCGATAGATGGATTTATCTGGCATTTCTAACACCCTGTTTTGCTGCAAAACCATGTGTCAGGTCTTACTTATTTGCTGCTCCAATAAAAATTAAATGGGTTTAAAATATATGAAGAAGTAAAATGGAGCTGTCCTCCTTTCTTATTCATATCCTCATTTTTATTTACCAGGAACACAGAACTATAATGGCTTAAGTGTGTTCAGCATCTTTCCAACAGAAGGAGAAATTGTTGCTGGGAAGAGTCAGGATTTTATTGTTACTTTCAGTCCTGATCATGAAAGTCTGTACTATTCTGACCGTCTCAAGGTTGTGCTCTTTGGCGAGGTGAGACAATCAAGATACCTGGATTATGAAATCCAAGTCTAAATGTGACCTACAGTGATTTTGATCAGCATTTGATCAGGTCTTAGTAGGAGACTGAAATAATTATATCTAGTGGACAGCAATTGTAGGCAGAAATATTATCTTTATTAGATTAACTGATGTAGGTAGGAGATGGCAGGTTTGGGGCCCACTGACTTTTTTCAGGTTTTAAATATTCAGTTATTAATTCATAACAGTAGTGACTTGGGATTCAGTCCTATCTTCTGCCCAGCTGACCAGACTGTGTAAATGAGATGCGATGGGAGCTAGGTTGCTGCCACACTGCTGAGCGCAGCTCCCAGTGGGTTCTCTGCAAGTAGCATTTAATGGCAGTGGAGAGAGGAGCTACACCTGCACAGTGCAAACGGACAGGTGCACTGAGTACCAGGAAGCTGCTTCTGCAGTCGCTCAGCATGGGGAAGGAGGTTTCCATCTGCAGAGCAGCAGTGGAGCTTAGATGGAGCCCAAGTCAGGATATGCAGGCTGGCGGCATAGCAGGGGGCTTTATGCCGCGTTCCAAGAGAGACTGACCAAACGTTAATGAGGAGTGCCAACTAGTGACCATCAGCAGGCACTGCAGACACAGAGCAGAAACTGGTAGTGAGCAAACAAGTGCTGTTTCTCTCCTTGCAAGTTTTGTATCTCCAGATTATCTTTGGAATTGCGGTTAAGAATGCAAATCGGATTAAGATGGAGAATGGAGACTGGTCCTAGTTCACAAACTTTAGCCAAGTTTGGCAGCAGATAAATTTTGCCTCTTTTAGTGGCTTTAGTATAAATAGTTTGTCCAGTCCCCTCCTGAGGTACATTGCCCAAGAATGAAAGGTTGTTTAAAACAGAAGTGCCTGAGTGGACAAGACAAGGGGAGTATGCAGATTCTTGCATTAAAGTACAGGGCTTCTTGGCATTTATATAGGCAGATGATGTAATAATTTCTATGCAACTGATGCTGTTGTGTCAGTATTCCTGTTACATCAGTACTTAAGCTTTAACCTGCATTTGAAGCATTCTTCTCTTATATAGAAAATAGCCCATGTGATCCACCTAAAGGGTGCAGCAAGAGATCATCCAATGTTCGTGGAAGGGGGAATTCCACTAGATGTGCCCATTGAGTCCTTGGCCGTTGTATCAGCTGTGTCATTGCAGGAAGCATTAAAAGGAGGTAATGTGCTACCACTTACACTTTATTACAAAACAGTGAGTGATAAGACATGGGCATGTTCGTCATCCTTTAAGAAAAAGTAAATGAAAGGTAACTTTTCCAGACTCAGAACAAATAAGCATTATGGTATAGCCTATATTCGTAACACAAAAAAAAAAATGCAGGAAACTTTCTCTTAAGGGAAGATTTTCCTCTTAATTTTAGTGCAGTTATATCTTAATGACAATGTTCTATCTTTGCAACTTACCTTGCAAAAAATAATTATAATTTAATACTACTACAAAGTATTAAGATGTATTTGCTTTCTGCCACTTCTCAGACTTGTATTAAATGTTTATAAAGTTATTTCATATATAATAACATATCCTGGATTCTCACGATTGTACTGTTATGAAACAGACACACTTTCAGGGGTTTGAATTTATCCTTTCTTAATTTCTTTGGACAGGATCTGTGTTCAGAGACAGTATATAAGCAACTTCTAGCTCCTGAGCTATAAATAAATCCAAGCACATATCACACACAAGTAGGAATATAGTACACACAGTGTGCCATGGGGCTAGAAAACAAGCATGAAACTTGATAAACAATTAACAATTACAGTTTGCAATTGCAAATTATGCAAAACCTCCTTCTGCTTAATTCTTCACTACCTCTGTAAGAAGGATCTCCTTATCTATGCCAACTCATTAATTTGCCACAACATCACTTTGTTTTGAACCATCTTGGTGTAATTTATGCTTGTTGCAAATTGATAATCACTCAGTTTTGACTGTCTCAAAGTTTTTGATTCATATTTGTTCAGAGCTACAAGAACCAGTGAAGTCCATTTTCCTCATTCTGGAGTACATCGAGGGAGAGAGTTCTCCAATGCCAGCAACGACAGAACTGAAAGTTGGAGCTATACAGTCAGCTCAGTTTGCATCTAAGAAGGTGAAGAAAATTAAAAGTGCTGCTTTATATCGGATGCTGTAAGGAATACTGACAAACGGCTACTAGTTCTTTCTATCAAAAATTCAGTCTATAAATTAAAAAATACAGCTTTCAGGGTTTCTGATAAACTTTACGTTATAAAAGCATCAGTGTTTGAAAAGAAAAGATTATTTTTCAGGGGCTAATATGAGGAATTAGCATTATCATATGAAGTCAGCAACAAAATTAATTTAGCAGTTTGCTTCCCTAATTCTGAAATACAGAACTGTGAGCACAGAACTGAATTACAGGTCTGATCCTGTTACTTTAGTGTAGTATTTTGTGACAACTTGACACAATGAACAAGATGGATACTTGCAGTTTGAAAGGGCAGAAGCAATTTGGCAAGCAATAGGCCCACATACAGCATCTGGGCAATGCAGCCTTTAATAAGCAGTCATTGTGTTTGAAGGAGCAGAACTGGCTGTAATGAGGGCGTGTTGTGCGTGTCTCTCGTAGAACATGGAGTTCAGTTTCGATAGCCTGCCACTCCTGCAGCAGAAGGGATTCACCATTGACTCTGGGAAGGGAACGATTGAGCGTGGGCAAGTAAAACGCATCAGTGTTTCGTGGGTGCCACCTGCTGACTTCAATGTAAGTTACAGTTGCTACAGCATGTTGCTGCCTACACTGGAAATGCGTGGCAGCTGTCTTCACCAACTTGTAGGAGCAATACAAAAGCTGACTTTGAAGATGTCAGCAGTACAGGCTGCTTTGACACATTAGCATGACGGAACACACATAGTTACCAAAGGGAGTATAGGCTGGCATAAACACTGATAGGAGAATAAAAGCAGGAACAATATGTATGATTTGAAGGCTTGCTACCTCACCACGGACTTCCATCCATCCATGTGATGAAAAGAACAAGCATTAGTGACTTGCATCTTACAGAACTTAGAATAACTTCTTACAGGTCACCGCATTATGTAGCACCAAAAGGCCAAAATGCTGCTGCTGTTAACTAAAAGACACAGCTTTGATCACACTGAAGTGAGCTTTTTAATGCCCCCCGTGCAAGAAAACCTGCAGTCCTGCTGATGCAGAACTAAGTTTACATGGATCATTCTGCTACAGTGCTCACATTTCTTTTGGCTGTGGGCTGCCTTTCCTTTGGCATATTCCTGGAAATCAGTGAGGCCTTTTAGATTTTTCAGCTTTATGAACCCTGTTGCCCTGGCTGCTTCTCCCTTTTTGTATTGCAGAGTCTAGGTATGAGGTCCAAACATCTCTACAAGGCTGTGATTGCCCTTCCTGAATCATCTTCTTGGGCATTCATGGAGACTGAAAGAATTTACTCCCCTGCTTTTTGTTGTGAGCTGTGTGTGGGATGGCAGAATGAGTAGCTTGTTACAAAATTGAAAGGTTGCTGCTATCATGTGCAGAAAGAAGGCAGTAGAGTTCCTGGCGTGATGTATCAGGTTGATATTGTGCCTCTTGGTAACCACTGGTTGTTACACAAGATTTAACACTAACTGATGGCTAACAGGATCCATTTCTTTCCCAACCCTCACTGCAGCGTACTTTGTTGCTGCTGTGCCCAGTAGTCATAGTTGTAATGTGGTGACGGTATCTGTAGCACTCTGGAGATAGAATGCTTAGTCATTGCTACTTTACTGACTGCAATATGAGCATTGCGTGAAAAACATAAAAGAGCCAACACAGTGGGAAGAGAGGTAATCTATAGCTATAACTGGTACATCTTACAACTGAGGTGTAAAATACATAGTTTAGAACTTGATCAACTAATCTGTTCTATGTACCAAAAAAATAGGTTGGTTTTATATGTGGATTTTTTTTTTGGTAGGCTGATGACCCTCTGCTTGTGACAGCCCTCCTGACCTTAAAAGGTGACATTAAGGAATCTTACCGAATCTTCTTCATGGCAAAAGTTGTGTCTGCATATGCTCCCACTAAGTGAGGGACCCAAGCTAAATGGAAAGGAAGATGGAGGCTTATGTTACTGGGAAATCAGTGGATCTCAGTTGAAACATGGAAAAATTTTGAGATTGTTGCAAATATGTGAGGGGAGCAGGGAAGCGGGAAAGAAGGTGACATGTAATATTTCTGCTTTTTTCCCCACAATATTCTATGTAAACTCTGGCTCCACTAGTTTCATTTTTAAGCTGACTCTGTGACAATAATCTTGTGGTAGAAGAAAGAATTAATGAGGGGCCAAGTAGATACATCTGCTGTTAATCACAGTGTCTTCCAAAGGAGGGCATTCCCTCAGGAGGAGTATCTTTTTTACATCTACATGGGTGAGTTTCAAACAAGGTATCTTTTTCCAATTTCCGATGCATTTTAATAGATTTGGAAAATTCTTGGGTTTTTCCCTCTTAAGACCAGAATAAAGCTTCTTATTCAAGTCTCCTTCAAATTATTTGGGCAGTCATCCTTACAGTACACTATGAAATCTTCCTGATGACACATGGTCAAGGAGGAAATCGTGACCATGCTGTTCACTGAATCGCTGGATATGGTTAGACACTAGCCCTAGATCATGGCTGTTCAGGAACTTTGTATTTCTACATTTGCTTTCGTCTGAATTCTGAGTAAAAGTAGATTTCTGTCTGTTATGGGGGAAGTTGGAGTGCCCTGCAGGTATAACTTCTCTCAGGAAGCAGTAGCTAGTTCAGGGAAGAGAAAAGTACAGAGGTACTACATTATGGAGAATGAAGGGACCAGGAAGTTAGCAGAAATCTAGAAACATAGATAATCTTTTAAATCTTATATCATGCTCTTTCTTGAATCACAGTAAGTCTGTGGCAAAATTCCCTCACCACCACTCCAAAGGCTTATTGCCATTTGGCCCTGGGTAGCTGTTAAAATTGCTTATTTAGATTATGCAGTAAGAAAATAGAAACAGATTATTTTAAATATCCCTAAGGTAAAATGTGTCAAGCTAATTGGACTGCAGGAAAAAGCAGTAAAGCAATTGTCACAAGAAATATTTTAACTAGTTTCCCCCTTTTATAGAGCAAGCTTGTAAAACTGATGAAGAGGGGTTCCTTGTTTTTCCAAAGACGGTATGTTTGATCCACTCAGATCTGTTCTCATTTAATAATGGATCAAGTGGCTGCGAAGTTACTTAACTCTTCAGTCTAAAGCACTACAGATGCTGAAGCAATAACCAGTCACCATGGGAGGGGGCAGGAGCTGGGAAGAGGGTGGCAGTGCTAGCCAGAGACAGCTCTGCCTTCATGAGAGAGGCACTGAGTATTTCTCCTGGCACAGCTGGGGCAGTCGGGTTGAAGTTGAGGACAATGAAGTTTGTGTGCTGATTCTCTTACAGTCCTTGCAGCCCTAAAAGGGAGATTAAATACCGCTACATAAAATGAAACTGGTGCAAAGAGTACTGCACAGTTGACAGTTACCTAATGATAGGGAAGTTTTCAGAGAGCAAGGAAGTGCACAGCATGTTGGAGTGGAAGGTTTATTTCCAGCAGTTAATTATGTGAGGATCCTTTGGATTTCACTCTTGGAAACTGAAAAGTAATGGCTGAGAATAAATTAGTCTCCAGACTCTCATAATCATATAATGTGCTGAAAATAAATGTAAAATTATCTACCAGGAAACAACACCCCTGTCTTAGGAATCTGCCACTTCATTGAGGTCAGGTACTGTGAAAAAGGATCCAAAGGATTAAAAAAAGTAAAAAATTTAAAGAATACATGTAAAGACTGTGACAATGTTGAAAAAGTGGAGAGGTTGCTTGCAAGAATAAGAAGGCGGCTTAGTAAGCAGAAAGAAGTTGTATACACAAGGACTAGCTGGTCCAACCAACAGGATTTGCTTGGACACTGAATCCGAAAGACTCATAACTTCAGAGAGCTCTGGATGTGCCCATTCAGTTGCAGAAGTTGGAGGGTCAAGCACAGCATTATATTAGTGCATTCAGAAAGTTAAGCTGGTTATAAAGAGCAGCTTAAGACATTGTCTGTACTGAATAGCTTAAAAGGTAAGTAAAGGGTGTAGCCCATTTTTAACTGCATTCTTTGGACTTGATCTTGAAATCTCATGAATAATTTCACAGACTTGAAGTGAGCGTAAGGTTCTGGGATTTCACTGGCCAAAGTTTCCATGCTTAAAGCTAAATGTGTATTCATTCTCTCCAGGGGGAGTGTTGAACCATGATAATAAGAATAGGTTGGTATTTCTGGAGAACTGAAAAAAAGAAAACTATGTTTGCAATACACCCGCTGACATTCTGTAAAGCACTTACGGAAATCTGAATGTTTTTTATTCTCTTTTGTGAGAAAAAAGCCTGTTATTTTATCTTGGTCCTCAAAAGTAATCGTATTTGACTTCTTGGGGGCGTAATGGCTGATCCTTGCAGGGTTGGGTTTTCCTTTCTGATTGGATTGGTTTTGTTCTTCTGGCACACATAGTTCAGTGTGCCCAGCTCCTGCATGAAGCAGTACTTGAGCAGTGTGAAAGGGAAAAACAAATTGTCTGATGTGGGAAAGCAGATCCATTGTAAAACTTAACACAGGCATGCAGACTATGCTGCTTTATCTGGAACACAACGCAAAAAGTAAAAGCACGGTTCTTTTCTGCAAAACGTAGCCCTTGGATGTTCCACTATCATTCAAATGAGAATTACCACATTTCACTAAGGGACAGAAAACAGTGGGATCCTTTCCAGAAAGAAACAACTAATCCTCTGATATATTTGCTGCAGTTCTTGGGCTTGATTTAGCGTTTAAATGAAGTTTACCAATCTATAGAAGAGTGGAGTAAATAGTTTCCCTTACTAGACATCTGACAGGGCTTGTTTCTTTGAGGTGACTGAAGTGGAAAAGTCAGTGCCTAAACCCTGTGACAGCTGTCTGCTGTTCCATCACTGGGACTCTTCACTTGCCTAAAACATCTTGCTTATGTGCGTGGATATTGAGCAAGCAAGCCAAGGATTCAATAATAGATCTGACTTCTAAAACAGAAATAACTAAAATAATTTTATTTAGATTAATATAGTTACTTTTGCTATATTTTTAGTTGGTGCTGAGCCTCTTTAGAATCTTCACAATGCAAATTTGCAATGATCTGAGATGCACACTGTCAGGCTACTGAGAATTCAGGAATTCTATATGGATTGCTCCTACCTAAACAATTCTTATGTATAATGTATACAAAAATAGCTGCTTGATCTTTCTCCAGTACAGGAAACAGAAAATTGACTGAGATGACTGACTACTGGAAACAATTCTCCTGCTAATTTAGACACACCAAGCTGAATTAGAAATAGTGTGTCTGTAGGTACTTCCTTGAGGACGTAGCTGAGAGCGCTATTGCGTTCTACTTGCATGACTTCATGCCAAGTTCACAACTACCCGAAGAAGCTCAACACAGCAGCTCTAGCTGTCATGCAAGCTAATCTCTTGAAGAAGCAAAAAATCCTGTTCAATACTGTGCTTCCAAAGCAGGTTATCAACAATCATCGCACATTCGGTACTAAAATTGCCAGGAGATTCTAAACATGTAATCTGATGTTTCTGTTTCCATATTCTAAGACTCCAATCACGATGGGGCCCTTATTGTGAGGATAGTATGGAAAATGTAACCTCAGAAGCTTAAGTTTTCAACTCCTCTAACTGCACTTCTGAACACCATGCTTTCAGACTGAGTGTTGCAACTGTGATCACTCTTGGGTCACTGGACACACTCTTGTGCTTTCAGATTTGGATCTAAATGCAAACATACACTTCTTGGCTCTGATGCAGTTCTAGTTTAATAAGAAAGCAATTCACATCCGTATATGATCTTTATAATCCTTAAAAGCTCTATCTAGCTCATTTCTAAAGCAGAAAGGAAGTGAGAGAATAGGCACTAGTGTCATACACATCTTATTAATACATGTTCTGCTTATCCAGTGACTTCAGAGATTGCTTCACATTTGTGAATGCAGCTTTTCCTAAATGAGCAATGGTCCCATGACCCTGAGCAGTCCTGTAGGAAAATAGTTTAGTCAGTATGCCACATGCTATTACTGAGCCTTGAAATGCTGTTTTTGAGCCTTATGGAGCAGAAGTAGTAATGTCATCTGGAGAATGGTCTATCAAACCTGGTACTTCCAAGCTATTGTGTCCATTGTTGCTCCCAATGGCATGATTGCCCCCAGTCTGCTGGAGCTTATTCATGCTTCTTATAGAAGAAACCTCTGGCAACCCAAGTCCAAATACATTCTCCTCCTGTTGCATTAAAATATTAAAAAAAAAAAAAAGAAAAAGAAAAAAACCCTTGTATTTTGTCCCATTCTCATTACCGGAGGAGCTTTTATATATACACATACATATATACCTCTGAGGATATCAGGGACCTCAACAGCTCCATCAAAATGCCATTCTTTTAGTTGATCTTCCCCTTTCTTCTCCATTTGAATCCTTTATAATCCATTAATTGGCTTCCCTGCTTTTCAGCTCTAGATGTCCTTCTTTTAGCTGCTTACCCAGTCAGGACCACGCTGATTCTGATCATCTCCTATATTGACTAACATCTTTTTTTGCCAGGTAACTGACCTCTGCTATATTAGTGCTTCAAAGGTGTCCGACTTTAAGTTGCCTTCTACTTTGAAGCAGAAATAAGCCTGGCTCATGTGGTGGATATGGTTGACCTTTAGCACGTGTTTTATTCTTCCCCAGTGACAGTAAGACTTCCGTACCTCATAGCAAGTCCTAACTACTAAAGGGGTCTGGGGAGCTTTTTAACACTATGGGCTACATACAATCCTGTTAAAATAGCTAGACTTCACCCTGAAGAGAATTGCAGGAAAGCTGTCATTTAGAGATGGGCCAAATTGCTATAATGATCAGTATAATCACAGCAATGAAACATTTCTCCATGAAATTTCCACCCAAGAGTATCAACACTAGGGATTTAGGTTAATGATGTGCAAGATAATCATAAAACAACATACAGAT